TTGAATCTGGGAGTAAATTATTCCTAGCAGTCTCTTAATTTTAGTTTTCAAAGAACCCAAGAGATGAGCGATTATTATGTTATTGCTTATTTAGCCTGATCTATACCTTATAGTATAAAATAACTGAACCAAAACTTTCTAGTATGCTACTTGCAGAAGCAAGCACATATCACGGTGCTTGACACATAGTGGGTTGTATTAGTTTCCTATTGTTGCTATAACAAATTATCATAAACTTACTGGCTTAAACAAAACTTACTTTTTTCAGGAGGTCAAAAGTCCTAAAATCAAAATATTGGCAGGTCTGTATTCTTTTTGGAGTATTGAGGGAAGTATCTGTTTTCTTGTCTTTTTCAGCTTCTAAAGGCTGCCTTTGTTTTTTGGCTCATGGCCCCTCCTTCCATTTTAAGAACAGTGGTGTGACGTTTTCAAATCTCTCTCTGTCTCTGAGTCTACTTCTGTCCTCACCTCTCCTTTCTTGATTCTTATTCTCTTGCTTTCCTCTTTTTAAACATTTTTAAAAATTTAAATAAAGTTTATATATATAACATAAAAATTCACCATTTTAGCCATTTTAAAGTATACAATTTAGAGGTTTTTAGCATATTCACAGTTTGTGCAGCCATCACCAATAATTCCAGAACTACCTTCCTTTTTTTTGAGTCAAGGTCTCACTGTATTCCCTAGACTAGAGTGCAGTGGACAGTTATGGCTCACCTCCATCTCCAGTTCCTTAGATCAAGTGATCTTCCTACTTTAGCCTCCTGAGTAGCTGGGATTATAGATGCACATTACCATGCCTGACTAATATTTAAAATTTTTTTGTAGAAATGAGGTCTTGTTGCCCAGGCTGGTCTCGAACTCCTGGGCTCAAGTGATCATCCCACCTCCGCCTCCCAAAGTGTTGGGTTTATGGACATGAACCACTGTTCCCAGATGCTCCCTCTTGTAAGGAATTTTTAAAGCCTTTTTTTCTGTCTTAAACTTTTGAAATTTAATTTTTCAACAGTTGAGAAAAGTTGTATGTATTTATGGTGTATAATGTGATGTTATGTGTATAAGTGAAATAGTTAAATCAAGTTAGTTACTATATCCATCATCTCACATACTGTTTTTCCTGTGAGTACATTTAAGACCTACTTTTAGCAATTTTCAAATATACGGTGGATTATTATTAACTATAGTCACTATGCTGTACAGAAGTTCTCCTGAATTTACTCAATTGAACTGAAACTTTGTACCCTTTGACCATCTCTCTATTCCCACTGTCTAGCCCCTGGCAACCACTGATCTACTCTCTGCTTCTCTGAGTTTTACTCATAGATTCTGCATATAAATGAGATCTGTCTGTGGCCGGCCTATTTCATTTAGCACAATGTCCTGCAGATTCATTCACATTGTCACAAATGACAGGATTTCTTTCTTTTTTGAGTTTGAATAGTTTAACAGAAACATACATATATGTGTATTTATGTATGTGTTTGTATATTTACTACAGATAGTTTCTGCTTATTGAGCATCTGCTGTGTACTAGGTTAGTTACTAGGGGCTTTGGGTACATTGTCATGTAGCTTTTCATGAAATGAATTTCTCTTTCCATCAGTATCCACTCACATACTACCATAACCGAAGTTTAACCTCACATCTCACTTGAGGAGATGTGCTGTGATATAGGAGGCAGTGACTTCTGGGTTGGTGTCCATGGACTATTAATTTGTTCTGAATTGAGAGATCAAAACTAGTTTGTTACAAAGTTAAGTAGACACTGTATAACCCAGTGTCTCCACTCCTAGGTATTTACAGAAGAGAAACGAAAGTGTGTGTCCACAATGGCTTGTACTTCAATGTTCATAGTAGCATTTTTTGTAATAGACCCAAACTGGAAACAAATTCCCATCAACTGGTGAATGTACAAACAAATTGTGGTATATTTATATAATGGAATATGAATCAATAAAAAGGAACAAATGACTAATATACTCAACAATATTGGTGAAATTCAGAAGCATTACACTAGGTGAAGGAAACCAAACACCCAAAACTACATAATGACAGTGTGAATGCTTGATACCACTGAACTGTACACTAAAAATGACTAAGATAGTAAATATTATGCTATGTGTATTTTACCACTATTTTTTTTAAAAAGCTATGTAGTATATGACTTATGTTTATATGAAATTCTAGCAAAGGCAAAATCATAGTGATAGCATATCTAGTGACTGTCAGAGGCCCAGGTTCAGGGAGGGACTGACTATAAAAGGGCATGAGGGAACTTTTTGGGGTGATCAAATGTTCTTTATCTTGATTGTAGTGGTGGTTATGGAACTTATGTATTTGTCAAAATTACTGAGTTGTACATTTAAAGTTCTGTGGGTTTTATTATTTATAAATCATAGTTCAATAAAGCTGATACATAAAAAGAGGGAAAAATTGCCAAGAATTTGAGGGAGTTAATAAATTTTTTCCACCTGGGCAGTGAGACCTCATCTCTACAATAAATCAAAAAATCAGCTGGGTGTTGTGGCGCATGCCTGTAATTCCGGCTACTCGGAAGGCTGAGGCGGAAGGATCGCTGGAGCCCAGCAGGCCGAGGCTGCGGTGGCCGGGAGCGGCCACTGCACTCCAGTCTGGACGACAGAGTGAGACTCCAACTCAAAAAAAAAAAAAAAATAAAATAAATAAATAAATTTTTTATCTCCTTGTAACAGTAGGATATTTCTCTACTGTTCTATAAAATTGGTGTGCCAGATTGCAAGTAATGAGATAGAAGAAAATATATTGTCTTTTCATGCCTCACTGGGTTGTATGAGTATGTTTAGTAACTGTAAACAATATAGAGTGTGTTTAGGGTCCATGAAATTATTTAAAACTTGCCTTGATGAGCACATTACCAACATCCATCCAATGTTCTCAGAGGTAGAAGAAAGAAGACTGTGTGCTGTTTCCTACAGGTGATCCTTTTGGGATTGAGCTTTACTGACTTGCCACTTGAATGAATCAGTTGTGATATTCTCTTGCACCTTTGACTTTAACTTATTTTTGGCTTAAAATTTTTTAAATAATGTAAAGTTAATGAAAATAGCACATATATATCTCTTTTCATTGACCCCCCTAATTCCACATGGGTTTCATACTTTCCTTTTTCTCTTTGGTTGGTCATTGACATTATTATTCCTGCCTCCTGAAAACCTTTCTTTTCCCTTGTTCTCTGGGAACACTGCACACTAGTGATTTTCCTTCTCTCACTGAAATGATTCATCATCTCTTTGGTATATTTTTGTCTTCAAACCCCTTATGAAAATGCAACCTATTGTCCCATTTTCTCTCAGCTTGCCCCTTTAGAATCTTTTATTCTCTCCTATGGCTGATCCGTTCTGGTGCATCTCAAATGTCTTGTCTGAGTTTGCTATTAAGCCCTGTCTCTTATTTCAGCTACCTTCAGAGTATTTTCATGATCCTTTTTGACTTCCCATTGTCCAAACTAAACTTACTCTCTTTTTTTCCATTCCTCTTTCATTTTAGCCTTCTCTGTGTCTTTGAGACCCTGCCTTTTTTTCCTCCTTAGGTTTAAAACTTGAAGCTCTGTCATTTATTTTTTCTCGATCCCTTCTATTCAGTTATTATTCAGGTCCTTTTTATTTCCTGTGGGATATCTCCCTTCTTTTTGGTTTTCTTGTTTTTTTGTTTGTTTGTTTTGAGTCGAGGTCTCACTCTGGTGCCCAGGCTGGAGTGTAGTGGCAGTATCACAACTCACCACAGCCTTGACCTCCTGGGCCCATGCAATTCTTCCACTCAGCCTCCTGAGTAGCTGGGACTATTGACACATGCCACCATGCCCAGCTAATTTTTTGATTTTTTTTGGTAGAGATGAGATCTTGTCATGTTGCCCCGGCTAGTCTCAAACTCCTGAGTTCAGATGATTCTCCCACTTGACTTTCTTACACTCTGCTGCCTTACTAATCTTCCACTGAAAAGCAAACACACAGCACCTGACACTGCAGATTTTCACATAGGTTCCTATATTAATCACTGAATATTTGTGTCTGTTTTTACCCCTCTTGTATTTTCCTGTCTGATTTTATTTTGGAGTTACTAAGATAGTTTTCATAAATTCTGCCCCAATGACCTGCATTTTTTGATGGTATTTTACTTTGTAGGCTTGGTTGCATAGGTTAAGAAATGTGGGAAGATTTTGTTAACAAGAAACGAAAGACTGGTGAAATATAAATTACATTGTCCCTTTACTTGCTCTTTCCATAGGGGATGGCTGGCTGTAGTCTGGGTTTTTGGAGTTTAGCTATATCCTTGGAAACATGTAATTTACATTTTATTTTATTTTTTTAAAAAACACCTTAAAAAAAAATAGAGATAGGGTCTTGCTCTGTCACCCAGGCTGTAGTACAGTGGCATATAGTGGAAGATAGTTCAGTGCAGTCTCAGACTCCTGGGCCCAGGTGACCCCCTACCTTAGCCTCCCAAGTAGCTAGTACTACAAGCACGAGTCACCACACCAGCTAACTTTTTTTTAAATTATTTTTTTTAGAGATGGGGTCTCACTATGTTGCTCAGTCTGATCTTGAACTCCTGGCCTCAAGCAATCCTCCCATATCAGCCTCCTAAAGTGCTGAGAGCCACCATGTCTGGCCTCAAACTTAATTTTCTTCTAATTTATTTTGGTGTTGAAATAACTACTTCCAGAGTAAAAAGTTGATGGATTATTTCAATGAATAGGGTATTTTAGGGTTTTTTCATTTCAGTTGTCTTTAAATCCAGAGAGAAATTTAAGGAGTAGTTTAGTAAACATTCTTTAGGATTTAAAATAAGGTCTTTATACTTCTTTGAAATAAAATGACAACAGTATTCTCAGTCCACTAGAAAAATTGAAGCTATTGCCAGATTTGAAATGAGGTGGCCAGCAGTGTACAAAGACTGATTTTTCTGAATCATAATATGATAACATGTTGGTTTACTTTTTCTTTTATCTTTGGGCATTCTAGAGGGGTGTTTGATGCTTCCCTCAAAATGGCTGGCTTCTATGGATTGTACACCTGGCTGACTCATACCATATTTGGCATCAATATTGTCTTCATACCATCAGGTAACAACTATATCCTAACTTCCACTGTCTTCTATTTAAGGAAAGTTAAACTGTTTTACATACATTAAGGAAATGCTTACTTCTTCAAATTTAATATACTCAATTTTGTGACTTGAGATCTAATGTAGTCCAGATTAGTATGATTTGCAATGTGTTTGCTTATTGCTGTATTCCCAGTAGGTAGAATCATACAGAGCACTTAAAAAGCATTGCCTAAGTATTTGTTAAATGAATGAATATTCTAGTATTTAGTATAACACAACACCAGCTCATAATTGGGTCTCAGTAAATGTTTGAATTGAACTGATTGGTGGGGGAAATATGTTGTAAAGTAGCTTTGTCCTGTCCATCCTGGGGCAAGATAAATGCTTCTGAGGCCATAAGCTGTCTCCATACAAGATTTGTTCTGATAATACCCTTAATTCCATATGCGCTAGATGGTATAATGGCCATCTTGTTCCTTTTCCTTTATGTTCTCTTTTCTCCTTTTACTTTTTCTTCCTTGTTTCTGTGGCTGCTTGTTTTCCTAATGATCTCTTCTTTCCACATTTGTCTCTACCAACATTTTTTCCTCTTTTGTCTGTTCCTCTTTCCTTCTTTAACATTCCTGTGTTCATCCATGTTGTTTCTACTTTGGTGTCTACTCACTCACTCTCTGACATTCAAGTACCCTGTCAGGCAGGCAGACAGGCAGGGTGGGTGATGGTCTTTTTGTATTGATGAGAAACCAAAGTTTTCCAAAGTCACTTACTGGTAGGACCAGAACTAGAATCCACATGTGCTTGAATCTCAGTCTGGAGGGAAGCCAGACAGAGTACTTGATCATACTGCTCTTGAAGGGGATGAACTTGAAGCAAGGTCTTTGGTCCTTCAACTTGCAGGCTTTCTTTTTTTTTTTTTTTTAAATTACGTTTCATTTTTATTAGAAACAAAGTAAAGAATATTCATTCTTGTCTATGGTTTAAAAACTAATATCTGAGCCGGGCTCAGTGGCTCAGCCTGTAATCCCGCGCCTTTGGGAGGCTGAGGTGAGTGGATTGCCTGAGTCCGCGGGTTCGAGACCCATCTGGGCAATTTGGCGACACCTCATCTCTACAATAAATCAAAAATCAGCCGGGCGTGGTAGCGTAGTGTAGTTCTGGCTTCTCAGAAGGCTGAGGCAGAAGGATCGCCGGAGCCCAGCAGGTCGAGGCTGTGGTGGCCGGGAGCGGCCACTGCACTCCAGTCTGGGCGACAGAGTGAGACTCCAACTCAAAAAACAAAACAAAACAAAACCAAAACAACAAAAAAAACTAATATCTGATTGGACTTTGGACTGAGTACAGATTTTGACATATGCTCTACTGTTAAATTTATAGGACTGAACATTAATCACTGATTCAGAATAACAACTGCAGAACATTACAATTTTATTGCTTAAGAATAGATCCATACAGAAAACACACACTCTTTAGAAAGTTTTTCAAAATCACATTTTAAGATACTGAACCTTGATTTTACTGGAAAATTAAGTTGAACACGGCGTATCATTCCCCTAATATTTGATTGAATTTGTGAGTAGTTAACGAGTTTTAGTGGAAATTTTTAAGTGACAAGAGCTACTGCTTAGGTTCTGTTTTGTTGTTGTTTTGCTGATGACATTAAATTGCTTTTCTTATATTAATCTTTATTATTAGCATTAGCAGCAATCCTTGGAGCAGTGCCGTTTCTGGGGACATATTGGGCAGCAATCCCTGCAGTTCTAGACCTGTGGCTGACACAAGGGTTAGGATGCAAGGCCATTTTACTGTTGGTTTTTCATCTCTTGCCAACATACTTTGTAGATACTGCAATCTATTCTGATATATCAGGGTAAGTATTACACAGAACTTCTGAGGTTATCTGTGAATCATCCAGGGATTTCTGTCGGTTTTTATTTTTTCGGGGAGTGGGTGAAAGAACTGATGGTAGGAGTTTTCAGTGAAGTAGTCTTTTGTGTTCCCATGGGTATAATGAAATTTTATTTCAAAATAACACTGTTTATAAGGCATGATATTTTGTTATTACGTAAGTATTGTTTACAATATATGAGACTGTAGGATAAAACAAAACTGAGAATAATTTTCTCTTGATTTAGTGACATTTACCTAGAAAAGAAATATTGCCAGGTGTATATAAAATATTTTAACAGTGAAGAGTTAGTGGTTATTCTTAGCACTTCTTTGCTTTTGAAGAAAACATTATTAGATTGTATGTTTGAGGATTTCCACATAAAACCAAATCATAGTAAGTTAATGTCTGGTAAGCAAAGCTCTCTTAAGATAGTATGGTACTATGGTATGACGAATACAGGTTAAATCTAAGTTGGAATCAAAACTTCAGCCATATAACTCAGTAAATAAATATCTGTTTTTGTGAATTTTAATATCTCTTAGAAATTACATTAAGTAAATCAAGCTAGTCATGAATCCAGATTCACATTGCTTATTAAAATCTAGATTATGACCAAATATTGAATTTTGATCTGCTACTCAAATTCAGAATATGGCCTACTGAAACTGTCATAATAGTTAATACATTTAATTTTCTGTAAGCAAATTAAAGGAAGAGTAGACAGGCTCTAAGTTTATAGAAAGAGTACCCTTCAGTTAATTTAAATCATGTAGACGTATACTGTATGCCACCTTGTTTTTACTCCAGAGCAAAAAGAAACAAGCAACTCCATAAGTCAACCTTGGGGGAACCTTTATGGATAAAGGTTAAAGAGAGAAAATTACAGTTAAAAAGCAGAACATCAGAGAGTGGTTAAATAGTGTTTAACAGTTGACATTTAAACAGGAGAAATAAGCATGTGATTTATACTTATGTGCTTTTATTTCTTTAAGCTCTGCTATACATTTTAAGGTTTATAACTAGAATTGAAGATTTATGTGTGATTTCATCTTAAAAATAAAATTTTGTTGCCTGAGCCCGCGGGTTCGTGATCCACCGGGGCAGCGAGACCTCATCTCTACAATAAATAAAAAAATCAGCCAGGCTGGTAGCGCATGCCTGTAATTCCGGCTACTTGGAAGGCTGAGGAGGAAGGATTGCCGGAGCCCAGCAGGTCGAGGCTGCGGTGGCCGGGAGCGGCCACTGCACTCCAGTCTGGGCGACAGAGTGAGACTCCAACTCAAAAAAATAAGATAAATAAAATAAAATAAAATTTTGTCTTTAAATCATTATCATTAGGAAATGAAGGAGCTTTTTGTCATTAGGAGCTTTTATTTTGAAACTCCCACACTTTTTTTTAATATAAGCCTTAAGCATTTTTGATAGAAATTTTCCTCAAATGTGTTGTTTAGGGAAAAAGTTTATCTAGCATGTATGGAATACTACTCTAAATCATTTTTTTGGAATGAGAAAGACCAATAAATTATGAATATAAAGTATTGTTTTCCCCAAGACTGGCTCACCACAAGTCTTACTTTAATCAAACTGTAACATAGAACATCCTTCCAGGGTATTTAGTTATTTACCCCTTTCTAAATTGTTCTTATCTGTGTTTGAAAACAAACGAACAGAATGTGACTTATTTTCCAGTACCTCTTATGTCAGTGGTCGTTTCTTATCACTGTCAATGTCCTGTGCTGCTATGTTCTATTTTATTGTATTTCAGTTATATAAGTGAAATTATGATAAGCTGGAGGGTATATTTATAACTTTCCTGTGGGGAAAAAAATCTTGGACTTTGTAACAGATATTTTCTTTATGAGGATTTTCTCCCTACTTGTGTTAAAAACAGTACATTAGAAGGTTGCCAAAAGTGCAACCTATGAGTAACAGGGATGCTATTGTTGTTGTCTTATAAAAAGCATAATTAACTAAATTGCATGCTAAATTGTGCCCATTTAGTTATCCTTGATGGAAGTAAACTTAACAGGTGACTTTTATAACCAATCCTAAGTCAACATTAACCCATCTTAGGCAGCTGTCTGTAATGGGTACAAAATATGTGTTAACAGTGCTTACTGTATTCTTTCTGTTGCTGGAGCTATTAAAAGAGGCAGATGTCACACATTGGTACATAGGCAAGAAAGTCCTTGCGTTTCAGTATTATAGTCAATGTTCATTATCGACTTTTAGGTGATCTAAAGAAAACTGATAATAAAGCATGTATTAAAGGGTGAACATTGTGTTACAAATATATTTCAAGGCTGGGCAGAATGGCTCATGCCTTTAATCCCAGCACTTTGGAAGGTTGAGGCAGGAGGATCACTTGAGCCCAGGAATTTGAGACTATCCTAGGCATCATAATGAGACCTTATCTCTAAAAAAAAAAAATCAAAAAATTAACTGAGTGGTGAAGCATACTTGTAGTCCCAGCTCTGTGGGAGGCTGAGATGGGAGGATCACTCAAGCCCAGGAGGCTGAAGCTGCAGTGAGCCAAGATCACACCACTGTACTCCAGCTTGGGTGAAAAGACCGAGTCCCTGTCTCAAAGAATAAAAAAAGTATTTCAGATTTACTTCAGTTTATATATTAAAAGTCATGAACTAATTGGTGTGCTCTTTATTCCAGAGGTGGTCATCCTTACCTAACAGGCTTGGCAGTGGCTGGTGGAGCCTATTACCTTGGCCTGGAAGGAGCAATCATTGGGCCCATACTTCTCTGTATACTTGTGGTTGCTTCTAATATCTATAGTGCAATGCTGGTGAGTCCCACGAATTCAGTGCCCACACCAAATCAGACTCCATGGCCTCCTCAGACTCAGCGGTGAGTTAAAGCAGAATAATCATAAGGCTTGTTTAAACAGTTTATCAATATAAATAATTTCTTTCCGACTTGTCAGGATAAAGGTATTTGAGTACTGTTGCTATGACAAGGATTGTAGAAGTCACTAAGCAAATACAAATCATTTGCAGACTTGGGGTTTTATATACCAGGGAAATGCAAAACCTGTATTGGATCAGAATTGTTAATGTCATGAAAGGCCAAAAATAAGTTAACAATTTTAAAGGGGTTGTGGGACTTGGTATAACTAGATTGAAGGAAACTCAAGAAATAAGACGACTAAATGCTGTACATGAATTTGTGATACATTTTTGGATTGAGGATGGGATGAATGTATAAAGAGCATTTCTGGAACAACTAGGGAAATTTGAGTATGGTTCATACGTTAAATAATAATATATCAATGTTAAATTTCTTGAGCTTGATAATGATATTTTGGTTATGTGGGAGAATACCCTTTAGGGATGGCATGCCATGATATCTGCAAATTATTTTCAAATCGTTAGAGAGGAAGTGACTGTAGCAAAATGTGAACGATTGGTGAATCTAGATGAAGGGTATATGGTTGTTAATTGTACTGGTGTTAACATTTTCCTGTAGGCTTATGCTTTTTTTTTTTTTTTTTTTTTTTTTTTTTTTTGAGTTGGAGTCTCATTCCATCTCCCAGGCTGGAGTGCAGTGGCACGCTCACGACCACCCAAGCCTCAACCTGCTGGGCTCAGGTGATTCTTCTGCCCCAGCCTTCCAAGTGGCTGGAACTATAGGCGTGTGCCACCACGCCCAGCTAATTTTTTGATTTATTGTAGAGATGAGGTCTCACCAAGTTGCCCAGGCTGGTCTCGAATGCCTGGACTCAGGCAATCCTCTCACCTCGGCCTCCCAAAGTGCTGGGATTACAGACTTGAGCCACCACACTTGGCCTGGCTGATATATTTTTAAAATAAAAAGTTGAAAAAGTTATTTGAGGACACCAATATAGAGCTGCAACTTGTTATTTTGCTGATATAGATATTAAAATAATTGCTGTCATCTGCTAACATCAATATTTCCTAAAATAAATTACAATGTTTACAAAATTTTCCTGATTGTCGCATAATTTTTAAAAACTTTTTTATTTGGGCATAACTTATATATAGTTAAATGTACAGCTTAAATAGACAAGTTCATTTTTTTCCCCATGTTTAATACTCAGGTAACCACATCCATATCAAGGTATAGAATAGTTTTATTATTCTAGAAGGCTTCCCCTATTTCCTCTCAGCCATACTCCTCCTCTGCCTGCTAATATTTTGACTTTAGATCAATTTTGCCTGTTTTTGAACTTCATATAAAATAGAATCATATAGTAAGTACTTTTGAGTCAGACCTCTTTTGCTCAACATTACATCTAGGTGATTCATTCATGTTGTATTCTTTTTCCATTGTTGTCTAATCTTTCAGTGCATGAATATACTGTAGTCTTATTTAGTCCTTATAGTATTCATAGATATTTGGGTAGTTTCTAGTTTATGGCTGTTATGATTCTAGTGTTATGAACATTCTTATGCATGTCTTTTGGTGGACATGTGCATAGTACTTATGTCAGCTGTTTGTATAACTAGAAGTGGGATGTCTGGGGTTATACATATGATTTAACTTTAGTAGATACTTACAGAATAATTTTCTATGTGGTATACCAGAAATTACATTTTAACAGTAGAAAAGTAATGACAGTTTCAGAATAAAGGATTTTAACTTACTATAGACTGTAGTGTATTGTTGAGTATCTTCAATTGGAAAACACTGGCTTTCCCACCAATTGGATATTCTAATGTAAGTGAGGAATCATTGAAAAATTCATTCTATGTATTTAATGGAAATATTTTATAGTTTTTTTTTGTTTGTTTTTTTTTTTGAGTTGGAGTCTCACTCTGTCGCCCAGACTGGAGTGCAGTGGCCACTCCCGGTCACCGCAGCCTCGACCTGCTGGGCTCCGGCGATCCTTCCGCCTCAGCCTTCCGAGTAGCTGGAATTACAGGCATGCGCTACCACGCCCGGCTGACTTTTTTTTGATTTATTGTAGAGATGAGGTCTTGCTACCCAGGCGGGTCTCAAACCCA